AAGCTAATGCTACCCCACCAAAAGTAGTGAGTTTTCTACCAGCGTAACTATCTGATCTGGATCAGGGTCGGACAAGCACTGCCACCACTGTGATGGAAGAGCTGGGAGAGCTAAGGGGGACGGTGGCAGCCCCAACCACGGACACGGCCATGCCCGGGTTTTTGAAACGCTGCCTAGCAGCTCCTGTGCTTCACAGGAAGGTGGTTAAAATCAGATATTCACAATGTCAAATAAAGGCAAAATCTTTTAACTACCTGATGGGCTGGTGGTTTTCTCATGCAAAGACATTTTAGGCTCACTTTTACAGTTTGGAAATTATATAAAATTTTAAGACTGAAGCTTCTCTCCCATGCTTTGAAAGCTCATTTATCTGTGATGAGAATAACAACGTGGCTCTGTTGCTGTCTACTTGTTTTGCTAACCAGCGAACATACTTCCAAAGGAAATGGTAACAGAGAAACATTTTCACTTCAGACTGGGGGAAAAAAAACCCTCAAATACACTCTCATGCCGTTTGCCTAAATCTTGTTTGGACAGCTTGCACAGCTCACAATCTTACTGTTATCACTCCCTCCTCTGAATTAGAGCGAGAGCAGGAAGATATATATAATACTGCGATATATAGCTTGATACCAAAAATCAGTCTGCTGTGACATGCCTCGCACTTCAGCTCTAACACAATGATACGGTTATCTAAGGTTTGAGGAGACTGAACAGCCTGTAATATATTAACACACTTTTCATTTTGGAGATAGTGTCAGGAGCTGAAAAGCACCTCTGATTCACCGTGCCGCTTTGGTTACTTCCCCTCCGATATCAGGTGTTTTATCCCCTCTGATCCCACAGCAGATCTGCGAGAACAGCAACACACTTGCCCTGCACAGGCAGAGCAACGTGAACAGGAACCAAGCGCTGGGGTTAAGATCTAGTGAGAAAAGCCCATGACGGCACTTCTTCTGCAGCTTCGAATATTAACGTTCTGAAAGACAACTTGCAGCAACTCCTATTTTTAAGTTTCTCAAAGGAGCCTTGAGACCATTTTAAGAAGCTCACTGCCTGTAAGACATCTGACGTTCAGAAAGGAGAACAGTCTCTGGCTGCAGAAGCGCTTTTTCTTCCCTCCAATCCTACATTTAAAGTGTCACTGGCACAGCGAGGACAAGGAGAGACACAGAGCTCAGGGTTTCATCTAGGTTCTTTTTTTTAACTGATCCAGCTACAAGCCTGGCGCCTGGCTACAGCTTCAGCTTCCCCTGAAACCAGTCATGCTTTTGCTTGTGTGGCTGACTGCTGAATTGGCAAAAGCTACCTCTGCAAAGCCACTTTTGCCAGAACACCTTTTTGTGTTTGCATTAAAGAGGCAAAAACATAGATAAAGCTTTTGCCAACGATATGTTGGTCTATTGGAACAGACGTTACGAAGTGACAAAATATACTACCATTTCCTCGGTGTTTTAGCTCTGCAGTGCAAGAGCTGAATTTGCTCCTCATGAAGGATCTCAATGGTAGGTGGATAAACGTGAGGAGAAAAGCAGAGATGCCTGTTTCAGCTCCTCTATAAGCCACAGGATGTGCAGAACTATAAAAAAGTGGGGGAAAAGAGAGGTCGAAAAGACATTTCTACAAGAATTGAAAGGATTCCTGGAAAGAAGAGGGGCAATTAACACATATACATGGAAAAGCTCCTCAGTTAGGATGACATTACTAACTTCTTTTTTTGTCTTTGGTCACTAGAAGTATCTTTACAGGGAGCATTAAAAAAACAGAAAGACCTGGAAAGATTAAAACCCACATGTAGCCGTTCCCTCCTGCTTAGCATGCTTGTTAATCCCACAGGCCTTGCTGAAGTGAAAAGGCAAATAAAAGAAAGAAAAGGTGATGGGGAGCACACACACTTCATTACAAACTGGTACTTGATATTTTTCTTAGTTACAGAAAAGTTTTAGGATGCTGGTGACTAATATAACTCCCTAATCCTTGGCTGGCTTCAGAAACCCTTGCCATAGGGTCAAGGTCCAGACAAGGCTAGTGCCTTAAAAGAGGGAATATGGCATCTTTAATGATTGCTTCTGGCTGTTTTTCTCCTTACCTATAATAATGCCACAGTGAGTGCTAGCTTTCTTAAAGTGATGCAGACCTCTTTGCTTTACCTGCTGATGGACCCTCACTGCCCACGCTGGGGCACAAGCCAGGGACCTGATGGTAGACCTGCAAGATGGATGTTTCGTGCTGAAGACCACAAATTTAGGGCTGTCTTCACAGGGAAGTTCAGTGAAGGTGGAAGAATCCTGTTAGCATGCAATTGCATAGTACCTCAGATAACCTACTATTTATTTTAATGTTACCCACCTGTGGGAGGCTCCGCTAATGAATCTATTTTCGTAGTACCATAAAGGTTGAAGTTTAGAGCTAAGTTTAGAGCAGAGACATATAAAAAATGTCAAACCAGGAAACAGCTTAATGAAAGCAGAGAGTAATCACAGCAAATTACAGTGAAATTTCTATGGGATTACATTTTGCATTCCCCAAACAAGCAGAGGAATTAATCTCACTTAGCGTTGTTCCATTTTACTGATAATTCACTGTAAGGTATGCTATGCAAGTAGCATAATGCGATGCCATAAAAGCTGTCTTAAAAGTTACAGTCTAAGATGCTTTGCAAAACAGAGTTCAGATTTCTTCCCATTGCAGTCTATGGAAAAATGGCAAGATATGCCACCAGTTATAATAGAGAAAAAAAAATAATGGTAATATTAGGAGGAATACAAGGCACATGTTCTATTTTGTGGCTACTAAGAATGAGGTCCCTTTCTTAACTCCAGCGTTTAGAAACCAGCCAGCAGTGGATGTGGTAGGGAAGTTCACCCCAGGAGAAGAAAGGTAGTATTCCCAGGGTACTTCCAAGAATCACTGCAGAATTTATTCTCTCCCCACTGGCAAACCCAGGTTTGCATCTAGGAAATGCCCTGTAGTCAGCACCTCACCTAGCTGCCTTGAACACCTCCTCTGAAACTATATATACAGTTTGCATATATATATACACAGTATATATGCCTTCCTCTCCCACTCTGCAGGTTATCTTTCTTTCACCCAGGCTTTAAAGCCCACAGTCCAGTAACAAATAAAAGCAATTTCACATTGCTTTTTACCATATGTAGTGATTTCTCTATTTTTCATCAGGTCTCCAACATGAGAAGAAGCTGGGAACTTCTGACCTCACTCCATTGCTATTGCACAGCTCTGGATGGTTTGTTTAGTGGAAAAAAAATGTTGACTTTTGGGTAACAATGTTGCTGCAAATCTCTCAAGGCTAATTCTTGATGACAGCCACTGTAAATACACTCGAACGTGCACAGAGCCACAGCTTGGCTCTATTAAAGGCAACAGAAGTTTC